AATTACATATAAGATGTGCTGAGTTTTTGTTTGTTTGTTTGTTTGTTTTGTATTTGGATGTGTTGTTTTCTTTCTCTGGATGGCATTTAAACCTTGTTAATTTTTCTTGCTCATCATTTAAAATGTAACTCATTGAGCATCTTCTATTAACAGCAGTTTTCCTTTTGGTTTAAAGATTAACTACAAATTAGTTGAATTTGATGATTGTTTCATCATTAACATACTTAATTAGTATCAATAATCACTTGATGTCTTTGTGACAAGCACATATGTATTCATTCATTAAATATCCATTCAGCTACCTATTTGTTCCAGACATTGAACCAAGCATTATAAATGCAGTATAGACAACATAGTCATCTGGAACATGGACTTCATAATATATATGGTCAAATGTGTGTTCAATATATTTTATGTATTAAAATGTGCTTTGCTTCAATTATGTAGGATTAGTAAAAATATATAATAGCTGGGGAGATGACTAAGTGGTATGGTGCTTTCCACACAAGCACAAAGATCCATATTCAGATCTCCAGAATTCAAATAATCCCCAAGGTCTCACAGCAAGAGAGGAGAGAGAAGACAGAAGTGCTGGCTAACTAACTTGGCAAACACTTGGCTCAAACAAGATTGATGGGGGAGCCACACACATGGTTGTCCTCTAACCTTTTTCTTTCTCAAGAGTTTTTATTTTTATTTTTTATTTGAATTACAAACAAGATTGAATTACATGACTATCCCAGTTCCCTTCTCCCTCCCCTCCTCCCTTATCACCCCCCCCACTAAAACTCTACCTATCAAATATCCTTTCTTCTAATCTACACCTGACTCAACCTTTCTGCTCCCTCATGACCTCTGCATCCTTCCTCTTCTTCCCTTCCCATTCTCATAGCTCCCTCCCCCCTCTTCCCATGCTCTCAATTTGCTCAGGGGATCTTGACCCTTTCCTCTTCTCCAGGGGACCGTGTATGTCTCTCTTAGGGTCCTCCTTATTTACTAGCTTCTCTGGCAGTGTGGATTATAGGCTGATAATCCCCTTCTCCAGGGGACAAAGTTTGTCTCTTTTAGGGTCCTCTGTGTTTACTAGTTTCTCTGGCAGTGTGGATTGTAGGCTGGTAATCCCTTACTCTATGTCTAAAATCCACATATAAGTGAGTACATATCATGTTTGTCTTTTTGTGATTGGGTTACCTCACTCAGAATGGTTTCTTCAAGTTCCATCCATTTTCTTGCAAATTTCAAGATTCCATTGTTTTTTGTTTTTGTTTTTGTTTTTGTTTTTGTTTTTGTTTTTTTTCTGAAGTAGTACTTCATTGTGTAAATGTACCACATTTTCTCTATCCATTCTTCAGTTGAGGGGTACCTAGGCTACTTCTAGTTTCTGGCTATTACAAATAGTGCTCTATGAGCATATGAACAGATGTCCTTGTTGTATAAATGTGCTCCTTTTGGGTATATGCCTAGGAGTGGAATTGCTGGATCTTGTGGTAGACTCATTCCCATTTTCTTGAGGAGTTGCCATACTGATTTCCAAAGTGGCTGTAGAAGTTGGCACCCACACCAGCAGTGGAGAAGTGTTCCTCTTTCTCTATATCCTCTCCAGCATAAACTGTCATTGGTGTTTTTGATTTTGGCCATTCTGACAGGAGTAAGATGGTGTCGCAGAGTTGTTTTCGATTTGCATTTCCCTGATGACTAAGGATGTTGAACAGTTTCTTGTGTGTCTTTTGGCCATTTTAGATTCCTCTATTGAGAATTGTCTATTTAGTTCTGTACCCCACTTTTTAATTGGATTGTTTGGTGTTTTGGAGACTAGCTTCTTGAGTTCTTTGTATATTTTGGAGATCAGCCCTCTGTCAGATGTGGGGTTGGTGAATATCTTTTCCCAGTCTGTGGGCTGTCATTTTGTCTTGCTGACTGTGTCCTTTGCCTTACCGAAACTTCTCAATTTCAGGAGGTCCCATTTATTGTTGATCTCAGTGTCTGTGCTACTGGTGTTATGTTCAGGAAGAGGTCTCCATCTTTATAGGCTTGATGTGGTATATACCGACCTGCATAGACAGATACATGCATACACATATACAATGCACACAACGATAAAGCACCCAGTGGCACAATGAACCATGTTGTATCTGAGGGAAAAAAAAAATATGTTGCTTTTTGTTCTTTTTGCTTGGATGCTGAAGCTTAATAAATCATATATTTTTATTTTCAAGTAATCTGTTGTTTGTAGGCAGATTATTTGATTCAGTCACTTTAGGTTTCTCAGAGTTCTGAGTTCCTTTGCCTTGTCCTCATTCTCACCTACTTGTGTTTACCTAATTGTTGTCAGGTATCAAAGTGTATGGTAAAAAACTTTTGTAACTTAACAGGATTTTTCAGTATGTTCCTGAATCAATCAAGCTGTGGGATAATACAGATATTACATAATAATTTTCAGTATTAAAGAACCTCAAATTTAAAAAAATGCTGTTTGGGTTCTTTAGTTTGCTGAAATTTACTCTGACTCTCAGAGAGAATTTAATATAGCAAACAATGTTTTATAGAGAGCTTTGACAAAGAAATGTTTCTTTGTGGGATGTCTTAAGAAACCATCTGTGAACACCCAATGTGAAAGGGTGATTTTGATGTTGGGTTTCATCTTTACTTTCTTTTTCTTTTCTCTCTTTTCCTCCTCAAATCCAATAATATGTAAAATCAAAGCCAACCTCATGAAACAAGTAGATCAAGGCACATACTCAAAATGAACAGCTTTGGGCTGATTGCTCAGTGGTTAAGAGACTGGTTGCTCTTCCAGAGGACCTGGGTTTAATTGCCAGCATTCATATAGCAACTCACTCCACCTGTAACTCCAATCCCAGGGGATCTGATACCTTCTTCTGGCTTCCATGAGCACTGTACACATGAGTTGTACTTACATACATGCAGGCTAAATTTCCATACATAGAAAAGAAAAACAGCTAATGTCTTATTTAATGGTCAGACACTATTGAAACTATTAATGTCTTTCCCCTAAGATGAAAAAGATCTGTCTGCTCTTATGTTCATCATACTGCAAGGTGATGGCTGAAGGAGGATGATAATGAGTTCACTGGACCTAAGATAAATGATAAATGGGGGTTTTATTGGGAAACAACTTACACAGATAATAATAAAGAACCACTGCAGCCTTTCTCTGCCCTTCCTATCCGATCCTCCGCCCTGCCTCAAGCCTTCCCTCCTTCAGGTTCTGTCCCAACCTTAAGCCACGCCCAAAGGGGTGTGGCCACTAACACAAATATACTGACAAGGCTAGATACTGCTAGGCCATTGCATTTGGCCATTGAAGTAAGGCAAGAATCTATTTTAAAATCTATTTTGAAAGACTCAGTAAGTGGGGTTACATGTTTATATGGTTTTATTCAATACAACTGTTTTTAGTGTACAGAATAAATTTAGAAAACTGAATGAAAATATTCATGTTACAGGCAATCATATTCAACTTTTACAATGTAATGAAAATATAAATTACTTAGGAAATAATTTAGAGAAAGGTATTAAAAAACAAGTACATTGAAATTGAAAACCAGTTTTGCAAGAAATTAAGTATTTCGTGCCCACAAGTTTGAAGACTTAATTATTATTGTTCTTAAAATCAGCTACAGGATCATTATGTCAGTCATAAACACTTTTAAAAATGGAATTAGACAGATTCTGAAATTAATATTGAATTAATATGTATAATTAGTCAGAATAAAGACTTTTATTTTGATATGTGTTTTGAAACCAGTTCTTTACTGTGTAGCTCAGTCTGGCCTGGAACTCATAGTGATTCCCCCTGCCTCAGCTCCCAAGTCCTAGGATTCACAGGTATGCACCACCATGACGACTCTCAGGTATGATGGCATACACCTTTGATCCCAGCATTCTGGAGGCAGAGGCAGGCAGGTCTCTTTGAGTTTGTGGCCAGCCTGGTCTATATAGAGAGTTCTGGAACAGCCAAGACTATGTAGAGAGACCCTGTCTCAAACCCCCCGAATTACTTTATAATAAAGCATTGTTAGTTAATATCACATTTTTTTGCATTCTGTTTGGCAGTAGCTACGCACATTGTACACACTGCAGTACAGGTAGGTTAGGTGCCCAGTGACAGGAGGGTTAAGCATAGATAAATGCATCTCTCAACTGAAAGGAAAGCTAAGCTGAAGCAGATACAGGCTTTCACAGTACTGGTGGGTAATTGATTTGGGGATCCTCTGCTTTGCCAAAATGTTATGGTACTTAGATAAATTTGATATGAATTAGGACATATGTATTTCAAGCCATTATATAGCTTCATATAACCTACACATTATCTTCTCGTATACTCTCACTCATATCCAGAGCACTTACATCTAATGGAATCTGAAGGTTCTGTAAAGAGTTGTTCAAGGAATAATGCCAGCCAAGAAGTAGCTATATGTGTTCTATACAGACATAGCCCTGCGAATACAGAGTGCCGGTTGTGTGTCTGTGTCGACAGTCGCTTGACACAAGACAAGGATGAGAGAGTAGCAGTGTGATGTGGTGAAGGGCGCTCTTTGAAAAGAGTGCAGTTGGGTATCCATAAGGACAAACAATTGTTTTTTCATTGTATAGATAAATTCCAGATGATTTACCAGTCCTGACATTAGAAAATATCGTTAAGGGAACCTAAAGTAGGAAGCTAATTCATAAGAATTTTATAAGACAGTCATCAGAGAGAAGACAAAAAAAAAAAAAAAAAAAAAAAAAAGAAGGCATCTCAAGCATGGGATTTTCTACACCCATTCTGCTTCTTTGGAGAAGGGGAAATGGTGAGATAGTGTATGATTACGAGTACGAAATGAAGTTTGGATTTAGCAAGTGTCAGAAATAGAAGCGGAGGGTGTCTTAATTGTCTGGAAGCATCCTGCATATCTAGCCTGTATGGATGCATGTGTCAGACCTGGCATGAATTGGTAACAACCACATTATTTAAATTTCAACTTTACATTTTGCAGGATTCTAAAGTCCCTGTTGAACCAGACAATGGATGAACAACCACAAGGAATGCAAGGGCCACCTGTTCCTCAGTTCCAGCCACAGGTAATCTAATTAAGTGGGATGAATGTATCTTTCTCTTAAATATGTGTGAGTAAATTGACAGCAGCAATAAAGGAGCTAAAAAAAAGGATTCATTTCTAATTTTTTATTTTTTTTGTGAGTAAACTTATTTATTTTTTTCTATTTTTTATTTAAATTAGAAACAAACTTGTTTTACATGTCAATTCAATCCCAGGTCCCTCTCCCTCCCCTCCTCCCCTGCCCCCCACTAATCCTCATCCCATTCCCTTTCTGCTCTCCAGGGAGGGTGCGGCCTTCAGTGGGGTATCTTCAAAGTCTGTCCTTACCTTTGGAGCAGGGCCTAGCAGTGGTCATGACCAGGCTGGTGAAAGCCACAGAAACAGCTGACCTGAACAAGGGGGAGCTCCTGGACCCCAGACTGATAGCTGGGAAACCAGCATAGGACTGTTCCAGACTCCCTGAACGTGGGTGTTGGTGTGGAGGCCTTGGCAATCTATGGGGCCTTTGGTAGTAGATCAGTATTTATTCCTAGCATACAAATGGACTTTGGGAGCCCATTCCACATAGAGGAATACTCTCTCAATCTAAGCACTTTATATTGGTTCGTTTTCATATAGAGCGTGATAGGAGGCCGCCTCTCGCTTATGATTTCATCTGAGTGGCTTCTTGGCTTTGAGGGTCACTGCTAGACCTAGAGATGGAGGAAAAGGCATGTTTGAGAGTATCTCTTCATTTTGTAGGTTACAGATTCCAATGGGTGGGGTGGTGGTGGTGGTGGTGGTGGTGGTGGTGGTGGTGGTGGTGGTGGTGGTGGTGGTGGTGGTGGTGGTGGTGGTGGTGGTGGTGGTGGTGGTGGTGGTGGTGGTGGTGGTGGTGGTGGTGGTGGTGGTGGTGGTGGTGGTGGTGGTGGTGGTGGTGGTGGTGGTGGTGGTGGTGGTGGTGGTGGTGGTGGTGGTGGTGGTGGTGGTGGTGGTGGTGGTGGTGGTGGTGGTGGTGGTGGTGGTGGTGGTGGTGGTGGTGGTGGTGGTGGTGGTGGTGGTG